AACTGAAAGACAAGCGACTTCTTATTCCTCAGGAAGATTATAGGCAAAAAGACAGTTCTACTTCAGGGCTGTCAACAATACTGCAGTAGTCCACTAGTGCCCATAAAGATATTGCTCAAAGAAGGTATGAGTTAGTTATTTTCAACATATGAGGAATAGCCTGACAAGTTGTGAAAAAAGAACTAAAACTGGAAATGCCAGTTTAATCATGCATTTTGAGATCCTGAATTTACACTGGTGCTTTTTCAGTGAGTGGAAGCACCTGGTAAATGACATTGCTTATACACCACAGAACACCCCTTTCCACAGTGAGTCTACACCAGCCTATGACAAATAACTCTTGCCAGATGATTACTTCACATGTCCTTAATTAAATTAACGTAGCAGTGATGAAGTCAAGGACATTTGCTGTCAGTAAGCAACTTCTAATCTAGAAGAGAACCTTGTATTTTAAGGGCTGACTATAGCAAAAAAAAAAAAAATTCTGCTAAAACACCGCCAAGACAACACAATTTCCCCCACAAAATTTACTTCCTTTTTTATTAACTGTCTCCAAGATACACATAATGTTTCTTGGCCTTCTTTTTTGCACAGCATTTACAGTAATTACTTCTGTAATAGCAAATATCTCAGTAGAACAAAAGCATCAGCCTGTGACAGCTATGTTGCTCTGAAGCACCAGCACACCTGCTTCTTTTCGAGTCTTTATGTGTAGAATAGCAGTACTTCCAAAAAGTTTTGTTATTTCTCTTTAAAACTAGTTTTGAGACTGAAAGCAACAGAATAGTTACTGTGAGTTTAGGAAGAGAAGGAATATTAGCAGCTATTCATTTAAGAGGGGACTCCTGTGCCACATGCAGAACGACTACAGGTACAAAGCTGTGATTATTTACCAAAACATTCACCACCACTTCAGGCAGCAATTAGAAGTTGCTGTACCTTGTGCCAGAAGAATGTGGTGTTCTAACTTACCAGGGAGCTGTCCACAAAACAAAAAGCAAGCTGGCAAACAATAGAATAGGTTTTGATAAGCGGTCTGGGACCAATTAAAAAGCAATACAGAATCCATAAAATTGGTATCCTATTTCCAACTTCAGGCTAGCTACAGACCTTACTTTTTTAAAAATAAATAAAATTCTGTGAACTAACCAATTAGAGCTAAAAGATGACCAGAGAGCAAAGCAGTCTCTGGAAGAGTGGGCGAGTCAGGAAGACAAAGTCAGTTTTGCACAAGCAAAACAGGAAGGAGCAAATATTACCAGCTGAAGATAAAGGACCACAGCAGACAGGCTCTGTGGTGGGTTCTACAGGCTGCCAGGCATGAAACATTGTGAGATATGAATACAGGCTTCAAAAAGGGAAATATTTCGTTTCTAAATAAGCCACGCATTATTTTAAGATTGCCTTAAAACAGGCAGGGGCACTTACCAGGGCAAGAGGGTTGCTCCCTAATATTATTTCCAAATAATCTAAAAGTTTATCTAAATAATTTAAAAGATTTATCCTTGAGGGAAGCCTGAGGAGGTAACCACAGCCAGTCCCAGGCAGAACACTGCCCAAAAGGCTGGCCTTTGAATTGAAAAAACAAAATTGAAGGAATCCCTCTTAAGAAATGCTTATGATCAGTGCCACTGACCTGGAGGGGAGATATCTGATGCCTTCATGAGTCTTCTCTCCCAAACATGCTGAAGATAGTGCTTTGAAACATACCAAACCAACTGTTGGTACTGCATTCATCAGCTTTTTTAAAAAGCATTCCAATGTTGAGAGGATGGTTTTATCCTGGGCAGACTGCCCCCATAGGAGCCAGCAATTTTTCAGGGGATACCTCCCATGTAAAAATTGCTATTATTTCTATCTTTTATAGTCATGGCAAGGCAGTGTATTTCTTCTGGTTCACTCCACCTTGCAGTACATCCAACACGTCTAGCTCTCGTTCTTCCTCTCTCCAGTATGCCTCTGTCATTGCTTGACAGTACAACCAAAGTGCTCAAATCCAGCCATTCACTGACCATAATGTAATGTTTCTTAGTCCATGCTGCCTGCAAGCAGAAGTGATCTTCCTAAGTTCATTTTCCTGAACAGTTTGTGCTTTTGGATATCCAGCTGTTCTTTAACGTTCTTCTCCAACAGCTCTACCCAAAACATTCCAGTTCATCTCTCACTGTATTCAGTGTCTAGTTTCCACATCCCTCCTAATTGCAAGTAAATGTTTACGTTTAAACACTTCAACAAGGGGCAACTCTAGAGACATCTGTGTCAGTATTATGGGTTTCATGCCAAAGGATGTTGTGTGTTAGCTGAGCAATGCAGCATATTTTTTCCAATTGCTTCAGCCACTAACCAGTTATGTGACATCCTGAACTATTACTACTTTAAAATACAAAATGAAAGAATTTAATATGAAAATAAAAAAGCAGGAAGAAACTCATCTTAATTACATACAGTCAGAAACCAATGAAACAGTATGTAGTTGGGGCCAGCTAAGACATTCATTTTTAATGTACTATTCTTTTTTTTGTTTAGGATATATGTCCAGGTAATGGCTATGCTTGCTGCCATCTACAAAGCCCTAAGATCCCCTAAAACAGCTTTCATCTTCTTTTCTTTATACATGCCATCAAGCTATGCTTCTGAAAAGAGCTGTCATTAGAAGGGAGCTCCAAGGCACCTCATTACACAGTTGCCTGGCTCATATCAATGTGAACTGGGAAAAATAATCAATCACTTTTAAATACAGCTTTAAAATGATGCAGTTGAACTTAGCTATACTATTTACAGGAAGTATCCTGTAGTGGTTCCATGCAGTAGTAAAATTTACTACAATTTTTCTATAAGGCAATAACAACTGGAGATACAAAATAGCATCAGGTCTTTCTTCCTTCAAAGAGGTTTTACAAAGCCTGAAAGCCTTCCTAGCATAAACTGTACTTTAGACCTCTACAAAGTCTGGAACAGTTTCTGATTTGGTACAAACTACAGATGTATTCTGTTGCTCTTGTTGCTTTCCCCTCTCACTGGATTCCTGTTCTTCTTTTCTACAGAAATGTTTTTTAAAATGTTTTTAATTTATTTTTTCTGTCTTGCAACTCTGATACTCTGTCCATTCTCTCACTCATGAGTTATTTGCTGGCTGGTTTGGAGAAAGACACACAGTGAGATAGGCTAGTCCTAACAGCAGAGGCAGGAAGCCAGCCCCTACATGTACCTGTGAATGAGTCTGGCTGCTGTGTTACACACCACAGTGTGTGCAGAGAGCAAAGAGGGGTTCTTCCAGGAGCACACATTGAGTAGGTCTGTGTCCAAAAGTAATCATGAACCTGTGGCTTTCGCTACCAATATTAATTGTTTCTACCACACCAAATTTATTCTGCTACTGCTTGCAAGGTCTTCCCACAGGTGAAGACTGGCATCAATAGAAGCATAGGAGATAATATTCTTTCCTGCTCTGGGGAAACTGGATTAGCAGACAGCACACAGAAACCCACTCAGCAGCATTCCAAGCTACTCTGCATATCATGTTTTCTTTGTCTTGTCCTCTCCTGAAATATAAATTCTCATCAAGTGCTGGAAGAAAGATCCAGGACTTGACAGACCAGTTGGTTGATCTGACATGAAAAATACTCTGTTCTTCACATGAACAATCAGTTTATTCTTCCTCTTCCACCTCTGTCTTTGCTTATTTGCAGTCCTCGGTGAACATCTGACCTTTGACTGTATGATGTGACCTTTGACTGTACACCATGAGATTGTCTACTACGTTTGTTACTTTCGAACCACAAAACACAATTCAGCAGCCACTGGAGTATTTCTTGTTGCAATCATACCCATGTTTACACTCTGAAAAGCTGTTGGCATCATTTTAAGAGCATTTCCATTACTAATTTTCACTTCATTCTCAGAGATGTGCACTGACAGTCTTAACTCCTCACATACATAAACTAACCTGAAAAACACAGGCAGCAGAGCTATTTTAAATGGCAACATGCAGCTTACAATGAAAAGCATTATATGCTGATGTAGCTTCAGAGATATAAAAGATCATAAAGCATCCAAGCTCACATTCAGATAGCCTCAATCTCACATGTAACCCTCCTTAGCTCTGGTTCAAAGTCCCACTCAGCTGCTGGACTCCACCTGTGGAAGCCTCTCCTCTCCACTGAGAAAGCAAGCTGTCTAAAGACAACACTGCATGGGTTTAAAACATCAGCTAAATCCTGGTCATTCCAAATGGAAGTTTGTCTTCCAGCAGTGCAACAGGATTTTCTGCAGTTTGGCTGAGAAACTCAGCGATCACCAGAAGGTATTACAGTAGCTTTAATTTTTGTACAGAACAGACAAATTAATTTTTTTTGAAAGGTCATGACAGTAAATGACAAGGAATTCAATTTATCTTCCATGGATGGATGAAGGACTGAGTCAAACACAGAACAGTGGAAACCTCTGGCTCCAAGAAGTCTGTGCTGGTTCAAATCCCTTAGGTAGCCAAACCATCCTTTCAGCTGTACATTATTACAGCTTTCAACTGATCTTTTTCCCCAGCTGTGCTATTGCAGCAACTTGTGTCATACATGAGCACCAAAAGAATGGAGTGAAGAATTTGTCTTTAACCAGCAAGTTTACCAAACATAAAATTACTTGCAATACAGACAGACACCATCCTATTTGTCTCACACTCATTTCTCCACGTTTAAAGTGACATCAAAAAAAATACAGAGATACATATGGGACAAAATGCCATCAGCACAATACAGAAAGATAAATATTGGAAAAGCAACCAAGCCCAAGGATTAGTTTTAAGAAAATAAAGACCATGAAGATAGAAAATCAAAAGAATATCCTGAGCCTCATACGTTTTAGCTACACAGCAAACCCAGAAGGAGGGTGACACAGCAGTAGCACACCTGACTTAACAGGCTCCTTGTGTATAACTGAGAACAATGGAGCTAGAGTGGAGATCATTCCTGACTGGATGTACCACTTCATGCAGTAACTCTTACCTAAAGCTTTCTGGGTACTCAACGACAGCCATGTTGATGACATCCAGTGCGTGCTGATAGTGCTTCTGAGCTGAGAAGAGGAGGGCCAGCAGATGAAGTGAATTCATGTCATCTTTGCACAGCTGCAGTGCTTCTTGAAGATGTTCTATAGCGTCAGAAATCTGGGAGGAGAGGGGGTAGAAATAAAAAGAGAATACATTTCTCCTTCGGTCCCTTGTTACATCCCAAAGGTAAGAATAAACACAGTCATTAGAAATGCTGAAGAAATTCTACTTAAGCACCTATGAGAAAGACTTCTAGTATCCAAACAGTCTGCCAAAATTAACAGACTGCACTGCTTGAAAAAAAGCTACACATTTTAGGGAAAGGAGTCTGCAAGCATTACTAAATCACTGCTTATAAACAATAGCAGCAGACCTGATCCAATCAACCCTCTCTTACTTTGGCATGGTGTTTCCAGGCTGTAAACAGATGCACTACAGAGGCCGAATTCTCAGCTGCATTTTCTAGGGTGGATGGCTCTTCACCTGGTGTAGAGTGCATTACACACCTCTGCTGCATTTTGTCTCCCATGATGGCCATACAAGGCCTTCCATGATTTGGATCAAGAACACAAAAATCAAGTTTGAATGTTCAAGGGTAGGAGAGTCAAGATTCAAAATGCAGAAAAAGAAATATCCTTCCAAGCAGCAATGTAAAGAGCAGTCCTGACACTCAGAGCAGCAGCACGTCATTAAAATCATGTCTCACTTGGCAGAAAACTTAACATCTATAATGAATGCAGGTATATCACATGCTCTGTGTGATCCAACACCCTGTTTTAGGCTATCTGTTCAAAAGGGGACTTCTTAGTACATTTTTTCTCCTTTGGCTACCACTAAGATAGCCAGAACCATGCAGAGGGTTTTCTTTAAGATTACCCAGTGTGTCTGAAATTACTGTTACTAAAATTATTCCAGATCTGTGTTTGGTCCTGCAGCCTGCACAAAACAAAACAGAAAAAAGGTACACATTTCTTTTCCTCATACATACTTCCCCACTCTTTCCATGAAGAGAAAGTAGTTCCTTCTTTCCTACTATGAGAACTTCCCACCTAGCAATGCTCTGCAGATATTCTCCTGCCCTGGCATACCACTGGTGTCACGTTCCCACCAGCTCCACAGACACTCAGGAAAAGAGGTAGCATGCAACTAAGGAAAGCAACAATCACACTGCCTGTAGCTACAACACAGGGTGCTGCTTATCTAGGTCCCAGGAATCCTTCTGGGAGCATGGTACATGGACTGTTCATGGCACAGCTTCATCTCAATGTCCAAGTGACATGTCACTCTTACTGTGCATATGCAAGCCAAAATCCTTAACTACTCTATTCCTGGTGACTTCATGCAAGTCTGGAGATCAGTAAAACTGCTCCACAGATCTAACCCCAAACTGCTGTCTGTCCCACAGCTTCAAAACTGCTGAATGTCCTGGCTTAGATTCAGACTGGGATATATGACGGAGTGCTCAACTTTAATGAATTTCTGCTTGTCAGTGGAGCTACTTTAACCACATGTGTTATTATAGCTTACTGCAAAGCTAAACACATCAGCATAAATCACCCATGTTCCCTCAGCAGCTTACCAGAACACGTTTTCTTACAATGTAAAAATACTAGTAAAGACAAGACAACTTGAAACCAGGAAAACAGGCAGGAGACTGTAGCTGGCCCAGATCTGCCCATCCACAAAGCTCTTCAGTAGATGTACCAGAGGTACATACACCTGACTTCCAAAAACAAAACTGCTATCAAGACATTTCCTGCACTCAGGGCAGAAAACTCCTCTTATTTTTTCTATTTCTCCATCTCAGACCTGCACAAGTAATCATAAAGAAATTCCAAGTTGGGTGAAAAATAAGTGCATTAGAGGAAAAAGAAAATCTGTGAACTAAACAACCAGAGGGGACTTTGAGAAAGCTGTTCCAGCTAACCCTGCTTTGAGCATGGATTGAAACTGGGTCATGTCCAGAGGTCTGTTCCAAACTCAATTATTCCATGCTTCTATTTGAAGACTTGGGAAGGTGATCTTATTTGCTAGTATGAATCACACAAAGAAAATACTTGCAAGCAGCATCTTTACTGATGGACTTCAAAATTGTAAGGATATTTGACCTTACTTGTGTATCAACATGGAAACTAAGTCACTGAGACTTTGTTTTGTGTGTTGCAATGTCTGAGCACCACACAACTGTAAATCCAAACCCCCAACAGGCCAGCTACCAAAGAAGCTCTCTGCTTCTTGGAACATGCATGAAATAAAGCAGAACAAAAGCCAGCTGTTCTTAGTGCTGTCACATCCCTAGTAGCCCACATAATATTGCTGCATAATTAGAAACAGTGGACAAAACACAGATAAGAAAAAATGACCTTTAATAATACGAAGAGACTCGATTTCTTTATGGGAATTATTCTACAAAACAACAAACTGCAACAGACCAGTCGCAATGAAACACAAACTCATTTTCTAGAACAATAAAAGCAAGACATTTGGCAGCAGCCAACACAAACTTCTTCTGGAAAGCAGAGATCAGCAATCTATTGACAGATGCCACAGCTTATTTATTTAAGTAACTATGTAAGATGAGAAAGATGGAAGCTGGCAGCCCAGAAGGCACCCTGAAACTTCAGAGCTGTATCAGACAGAGGTAGGCCACCAGTCTGAACTCCTTACAAGTGCTGTGCTTTAAAGTAATCTTACTTCAGCTGGACTGCAAGTCTGAGTGGGGCCTGCAATTAGAAGATGTTACCCTTCTCCAGTTCCTCCTCCTGCTAATAAATACACCACATATGTTCTGCATGGTACACAGGTATATTATCAGATCACATTGATCAGGAAGCAAAAATACTGCAGTAAGCCAGAAATAGCATCTTGCTGCACTATCAAAATAACACCACAATATAGATTGTTCAGGCTGCCCCTTACCTAATAGGATTTATTTCAATAATGCTATATGCTTTCTTAAAAACAATGCTTGGATGTTACAGTTGTAGGTATAAAAGAGAAAACAGTCTAAGTGTTAAACATAACAGTAAAATGCAAGAGTAAAATGCACATGCATATTTAGAATGGTCAATGAAACAGGATCTCATAAGAAGAGTTTTTAGGCCTTATAATCTCACATCAGTTCTGAGTTACAGTTAATTAACCATTAAAAATATCCTCTCCATCTCTTTTTATAGCACAGGGATTATAGAAAGGAGAAAGCTTTATTGACTAGCAAGGGCTTCCACTGAAAACAAACTTGGTAGAGTCTGCCAGAACTTCAGGAAAAGTAGGCATGGACCTATCTGTGAGTTAAGTTATTACTTAATTCTTACTACAAGCTGGTTTTTGATCACCAGAGAATTTCTAGGCCAGGATCTAGACAGAAAAGCAGCACGTTGCTGTTCAGCAGAGGAGGCACTACTTGCTCTGGGAGAAACACAGACCACAACTACCCATATTCAGCAGTAGCTGAAGGAAGGACCTCTCGATACCTACAAAAACAGAACTCCCCTCCTGGGGCAAAGACAAGGCAGCAGTCTTGCCTTGTTGAAACCAGAATAAAAACTGTGGAGAAAACAGCCGAAATATTTTCTCTCGTGTCTTAAGCAATGTTTATCTTATTTTTACATCCAGACATTCTGGAAGGCAGTAGGTGTTTTTTGGCTATTGCCACTTGATGCTTCAGGTCTGTTGGCAGCCCAGGGATGAAATGAGTGAGACCTCCAGTTCTCAGCTGCTGCCCCCTGGCTGTCTTTTCCTTCCTATTTTCATGCAAAGAAAGGCCAAATCAAGTATTAAAATGGCACAAAACCCCCATATGTTGTTTTTATGTATCTGATACTGACTTACATGGCATTCATGGTCAAAAGCAACACCACCACTACCCAAAATGAGAAGGGAACCAGCACTCGAAATCACCAAGAGCCCTGACTCTCTAGAGTCATTTCCATAGAAACTGGCCTGCTAAAAAACAAGGCAAGGCATTAAAATCAGTGAGCTTTAAAATGCTCATTCTACCTTGTTTTTGCTGATCCAAATGCTGTTACCACAGAAACAGAAGCAGCTGAACCAGTCACTGGAGTTACAAGTCTCTAGGCATTAAAATCAGTGAGCTTTAAAATGCTCATTCTACCTTGTTTTTGCTGATCCAAATGCTGTTACCACAGAAACAGGAGAAGCAGCCGAACCAGTCACTGGAGTTACAAGTCTCTGCTGTTGCCCAGCTCATCCCAGCCAGGCACTGCAGGTGAAGATCACCACCACAGCTAGTACTGACCTTGGCTGGCCTCGTGACACATCAGCTTTGGAGGAAAAACAAATTAAGACCCTCCTTAAGAGTAGAGGGTGTTCTACTCTGTATTTTGCTGAAAAATCCATTCTCAAATGCTGTGGGGCTGATCTAGACCCTCCAGGAGTCACCAGGAGGACTCCACTAACTCTGGTGGTCTTTAAGACAGAGCCATGCACAGAAACACAAGCATGAAGCACATCACCATCAACATCATCTCTCATTTTGGTTGCTGGTGGTTTTCAACTGCTAACTCTGTTAAAACCTTTTATAACCATTCCTCTTCTTGTCACGTCCTCATCTTGTGTCAGAGGGATGCTTATGCTTTTCCATTTCCCCTTTCCCAGTGCTGACAGGGACAAGTGCTATTGGAAATATTTTACAGAGTCTTCCAAGGAAGATGAATGGCTCTAACTTTGCTTGGCACTCTACCATTCAGCTGCCTCTCTTTCTTTGTTCCATGAAGATGCTCTCTTGTCTATGCAAGATGATACCTAGATTTTTCAGTGTTGGTTGAGGTTACCTCATTTGTTGAGCTTGACTAGGGAAACAAAAAGGCCTATTTGTTGAAAATAACACTCAGGTATTATATTATAACATACTGTGTAGGAATGGCCTACTTTGTTGGTACTGTAGCATCACCTGATGAAAGTCCTACCTGTGACATTCAATAGTTAATGCAATCTATCAAAAAAAAGATGTAATTTATCTTTCAGTTAATCAGAAAGAGAATGTATTAGATGCTTTAAATAATTACAGATATTAAAAATGCATTACCAAATGTTTATCATTAAGTAAACTGGCACAAGAAGAGTAGGAAATTTTACAGCAGTCTAAAAATAAAGATGTCTCAGGTATCTCCTCTCTCTCCAAGCATGCATTAAAGATTTATATCTCACTAGATGGGGAAGAGCAGAGGCAGCATCGCAGGGGTCAGGCTGACACTACATCATACATTTAGATCACACTTCTATGGTAGCAGGGGCAACTGGCATTAAGGATGAAAATACACAGGTGAGGTAGACAAAAGACAAAATGAACCTAAGGACAAGAGACATTGGAAAGAACAGGAGGGAAGGGAAATGATGAAACGAGACATATGAAACAACACTGTCAAGACAGGCTACAACTGGAGAACATAAAAGGGTTATGAGTTAAAATGCAGTGGATCAGTAACAGTAATGAAAAAAAAAAAAAAAAAGAACCCATGACCACAAAAATCTTGATTTTCTATTTAAGGACAGCAGCTGAAAAGCTGTAATGCTTTTACCCATGGTAAGAAGCAGAAGAGGCAGCAGATCAGAGAACTTCCCTAAGAGGCAAAAGCTGTGAGAGAAAGAAAGGTAGCTGGATACTTTTTAATGAAAGACCCTGAGCAAACCACATCATAAAGCAGCCATCAGGCAGATGATAAAGTAAAATAAGCCATTTTAATTATCCTTTCTTATTGCAGGCTTCCTCACAACACACTGCTCTCATTATGAAAGGGTTACAAAAGTGACATTATCAAGAGTGTGCTCTCTTGGGACAATTAGTTTAACCTAATGAACACAGAGCTTCCCTAATTAGCTCAGGAAAGGAAGAAGATCCAACTGTTTGACTCTGTAGTGTAGACTAGACTACAGAGAGAAAACTGCAGCAAGCAGAAAGCCTGCCAAAGAAGGAAACTACAACGATGAAATTTCAAATCTAGCTAGAGAGGCATTTAAAAAAAAAAAACATAGAGGCTGCTCCAATAAAGACTTTGGCTTTTAAACAGAAGGGACAGAGAAATAAAACACATTCCAATTATAAAAAGAAGGGACAGAAAAATAAAGCACAGCCCAAATGTTTTTTTTTTTTCTGCAAGGCAGTGCAGTGTGTTTTCTGATCAGCTTAATTTTTATGAGGTAACACCTGCAGCAGCATTCAAATGCCAGCTAATCCCACTCGCTGCCGAGCTCCAGCACCCGTCAAAGCCTAAAGCCGAGCGTGCCCAAGTATGGAATAGAGCAACCCCCCGTGCAGTGAGCAGGCAGGCTGGCGTGGCACAGCCCCGGGCAGTAACCAGAGCCTCTGGGGCAGCCTGCAGCAGGACACAGCACCATACCCAGGGCACAGGAATAAACACCCTGCTCCACGTGGAAACGGCCCTGCTCAGGAGCGCCAGCTGAACGCACGCCCTAGGGCAGCCTTTTCCATGTGCTACAGGGTTACTAGTCAAAAAAATATTCTGATGGCTTGTTATCTATTGCAATGAAGGAATAAGGGACCCTGTTTGGCATTTCTCCTTCTTGTTCAACTGGACTGACCCTCTCCCACCCTCTCCTGGCTCGGTGGCTGCCAATTACTGCACATACCTGTCTGACGAGAGCCAGCTGCAGGGACAGGTACAGGATGATTTGGTGATCTTCTGGGGCCAAGTCACGGGCTCTTTCAGGACAACCACAGAGTACAAAAAGAAAAGTGACTGTTAGATTGTATTTTGCAGAACTCCTCCACCACGGGTCACACCCAAGTGCAATAACAAACCCCAGTTGCCTCCTATAGAAAACCAGTCTGGTAACGGAGGAGCACATAAACTAGATCAATGTCAGCCTGGCTAAGCCAGGCCCACAGGAACAAGCATGAGAAACACTGCTGCCAGGATGTTACACACCTTACACACTCCTTCATTAAATGCCACCTGATGTTTTGGAATTTGGATAACTGATATGGAGAAGGTGGCTCTTAACTCATGATAAACCCATTAAAGCATTATTTTAAGTAATTTAGGTCAGGGAGACAGTTGCCTGACTTGTTCCTATACTGCCACTTTTTAAACAATAGAGAGGGTTAGGTTAGCACTAAAAAATTAGTAATTCTTTCTGCTATTATTGTGACTATGAGCATGTAGAGGACTAAACACCAGGAGCTCATGACGTGAGCTGGTGCTCAAACACACAAAACATCCTCCACCCTGCAGCTTCCAGTCTAATCGTTGACAGTAGACTCCTAATTTGGAAAGGGAAGGCACTGAGGGAGGAATAAGGACTTGATGGCAGGAGCTGAGCCTGGACCAAAACCAAGGCCCTTACTTGTCAAGCGTAGATCTTTTAGATTTTATCTTCTAATCCACAGCAGGCAACAGTGTGCACTGCAGGTGAACCCTCAGCTAGTGAAGGCTGCAGTGTCTCCAGAACCAGATGTGAAAGTCCTTCCCATAGGCTTGTGCAAGGCAGGGAATGGGGATGGACAACCAGGGCAGAAGTGTCCCTCTCACACTATGCTAAACATGAAACTGCAGCCTGATCTCGCAAGCCTGCGGAGAATCCACTAACCAAAGGCAACGTGAAGATTGTGTTTTGGGGGCCTAACCCAGGAGCAACACAGGGCATTGGCTCATGCCACACTGGCAGCCCAGCCTAGGGGCCAGTGGATTATCCTGCTGCTAATCCACAGAGCCCACTCCTAGCTCTGTGGCACGGGGAAGTCATGTCATGTGAAAGAGATGGGGAAGAGGAAGCTTGCTCATAGTCAACCAATGTTCCTGACCTCTTTCTGGGCTGTGTTCCAGGACACCAAGGAAGCCTGCACCTGCACCAACCTGCCCAAAGTGAGCACAATTAACATCCCTATGAGTGAGAAATGACGAAGTGAGGCTGACAAAGCTGGTGATTAAAAACCCTGCCCAAAGCATTCATTTTCTAATACTAAACAAAGAAATAAATACAGAAAAATCAAATAATCACTTCAGGAAACAAACCACATACCCTTTTAATGGCAGCCATCTCTCAAATAGTGTTTTGGCCTGTGAGTAAGATGCTGTTGGAGTTGACTTTTACAACTAATGGGTCTAGAACAAATTAATTTAATATGGAATGAATGTGTCCTGTAACTCTGCAAATCAAGGTAGCACTCAAGGATTCTGAAGCAATGCCAAAGCCATCAACGTAGTACAGGCAAGACACTGACTTCTCCCCCTACCTTAAAAAAAAATAAAAAAACAAACAAACAAAACCCTACACACACAAAAAAAAACACCCAAAAAACCCCCCCAAAAAAACCCAAACAAAACACAAACCATCAAACCGTGACAACAAAACCAAACCAAACCCCCAAAACCAAACACCACCCCCACTCAACAAGACAGAACCAAGCTCTGCCCTAAGCTACTGGAGCAGGATGAGTGACCTCTTTAGCAAGTGGCTGCTGTGAAACCTTCAGTAGCCTCTCCAACAAAGTAACAGAGGAATGTTCACATGGGTGTGTGGGAGAAGAGATTAATGGTACTTTTGGAAAGAAACAATAGGCTATTACTTTACTGTTCAGTTTCCTCAAAAGGTATTAGAAAAATACTTGATCCAATCTTCTAGCTGAAAAGGCCACTTATAAAGATGGCTACAGGCCAAACCATGGCCTGAGACGACATATATATGTACTTCAAAAAAAGGAGAAAAACAAGGAAGAGTGAAAAAAAAAAAGAAAGAAAACAAACTGGGGCATTTAGGAACACACTAGTAACCAGCTCATTATCACAGCATCCCTGTTGGCTGAAGTCTGAATACCTAATGCTTGGCTTGAAGCATGTCTGCTTCCTAGCTAGAGTTAAGATATCATGAAAACAAGTCACAGCCAGTGGGAAAGGTCAAAGGATTAAAATAAATTCACTTTAAAAGCACTTCAACACTGCAATTACATCAAGTGAAAGTATTACATTGGAGTCCAAGAACTAGTGTGACTTTAAGTATACTCCTGATCTAAAAAGTGACTGAATATATGGCTTTTAAAAATTTTACCTTTCAGATTTCCATAATAAATATCCAGGATTATATTTGTGGTTTCAACTTACCATATGCTCTTGCAACCACTGCAAAACCAGTGCAAGACAAACACGCTGCACAACTCCTTGCTCAGCATCACAAAACCAGCTAAGATGCAGTAACACGTTCAACCTGCTACACTTGTACTTTTGAGATATCAGAGATATCACATTTTCTTCTCTTTTCTAATGTGTTTATGACCACTCCAAACTCAGAGTTAGATACTTCAGCCCATGAATTAGACCATATAGCTTCCATTTAGTTGCTATCTGAAGTCTATAGGCATCTACATTTACAATATGAACTGCCAAAACACCACCTAGTGTATTTGGGTAGTGGAACTTAATCACAACAGGGTCAGGAAACTCACACCTCACTTCACTACCATAACAGAACTGAGTGAAAAGGTTTTTAACCCAAGCAGTTCTATTTGAGGTAACTGTAGTTGCAGGAGTTTAATTCACAGATACTTTGAGAACAGAGCCCTTGGATCAGACTGCCCCACAAAATACAGTGGTGAAGAACAGGTGAGCAGTGACAGCTTTGTACTGGTAGCTCCATAACCCCCTCTTCATACAACAGCCCATGTAAATGTTCATTAGCTCAACACTCATCCCTCCTCAGCAAGTGCACTGATGCCAGGTCACCCCTGGCACAGCAGCCTACACCCTGTTGATGAAGGTACTCTCCCAGCACAAGGGAAGTAAGACTTTAAGCCTGCTTCACAGAGGAATTCACACAGACCTAACTTCCCACATTTGCTGTCACCACATGAGGAAGCTGCATCTCTCAGCACTGTAGATCTCACTGCAGCTAATTTGGGGCTAAGGTTATTTCTGTTTAGTGGCAGAACACATACTCTTACCTTGGATATTCAACTAATGATCACTGCATTTAGCCATTAGAGGAATGGTTTTGACAGACTGTTGCTGAAATCTACTGAACTGGTTTTAAACATTCAGGCAAGGAAGTCTTACATGGAAAAAAAAATACATTAAAACCAGCAATTACTCTGAATTCACACAAAGAATTACACACTGCTAGTATCTGAAAGAGTTTTACTCACCTCTCCAAAGTCTGAAGTGCTTTCTTGTTTAATTCATCCTGAGTGCCTTTCAGAGTAGCTGTAGGACAAGATACAATGCCATTGAAGAGTTGAATTCAACACTTCAGATTAAACAGTCACACATGCACAGAATATTTCAAACTGGGAACATGAAACCTGTGGAAATGTGGTGGGGTGTGTGTTCACAGCTAGAAAACAGACCATTTTGTTTCTAAAGAACAACACAAATGCAGTACTTTAACCTGAACTCTCCATTTCATTTTTATTACAGACTCTTCCAACTCCCTCTTCTGAAATACAAAAGCATTTTTATTTACATATGCCACTGAAGGGATCTGGGAGGAGAAGGGGACACATGCTAACTAAATATTAAGAGTGTAACAGGCCCCCTGCCAGGTTCCTCTACATGCTGAAAGAAGTAACTAGCAGCATATTCTGACTCAGATACAGCCCATCTCCAGCACCATCTTCATGCAGGAGGGTGCTGCAGGTTGAACAGGGAACACCAGCAGCCAAATTTACAGCTCTATCACAAAACCCTTGACAACATACCACCTCCCTTGAGGTCACAACAGACTTTTAGGCTAAATCATGTGTGGCATTAGCTGCTATGTCCTCCTTGATGCCTCTAATTGGTTGACTAAAGATCCTGCTCATTACACTAATTTCTTAACATGCAAATGTCAAAGTTCAGACCAAACTGGGAACTAAGTACCACATGGCTGCTTATTTACACACATACTTACACACCCCAAGTGGGAAGGAGAAAAGGGAGAAAAATACTCAGCACTGTGGGTTCAGAGAAGGTGAATTTAATACAGCACAACAGGAGTAACAAGTAACAGTAATAACAATGACAGTAATGAAACATTATATATAAAGCAAGTGATACAAAGCACAGATCACCATGTCAGCATGGTATTGAATAAACCCATTTCTGGTGAAAATTAACCCTATCCTAGAGTGAATTAATTCCTAGACAAATGCATAAAAGTAGGAGAAGAATAAAGTTCTTGTTATGCCAGGGTATCATAAGATCTCATTATCAAGACAAAAAGGAATAGAGGAAGAGCTTAGAAGAATCATGGCTTTCTCAGATCAAAAAAAATCTGGAAAGCTAGCAATAATCTTCAGAAGTACACTGGCTGTCTTGTTTTGGTTCTTAGTTTTCTGATTTTGCATAGCAGTTGTTTCTTCTTCTGCCCATAACGAATTTGAGAGCTACAGATCAACAGCACAAAGGGGTGAGTAGTTAATCCATCATCAACATCCACCAGAATATATCTGACTTCATACGTCAAGTCAGCATAAGATCCAGAATAGATAGATAGTAGTATATATAGTTAAGCAACACAACCAGGTAAAATTCAACTATTCTTAAAAGTTAGTAAGAAGAAAGAGCTGTGTTCTTCTACAAGGCATAAGAAGGCAATCAGTTTCTTTGCATTCTGCAACACACTAGTGAGTGAAACTTCAAAAGTAATTAATCTTCCTGAAGTAGTTACAGTGATCAGACTTTTTTATTCCTACATCTGCCAACAGTTCTTCAAAACACCAGGTTCATTTGGGAGGAACAGCAATCCTCAGGATTTCCCCAATCATAAAGACCAAAAAAAATGCTTATGCCACAAAATCTACTCTAAATAGTAAAAACTAAACAAAAATTCTGCAGTTTAAAGAATAAATTTGAAGACATGAAATTTCATGCAGCATTTATTAGAAGTGTCAGGAAGTACTTCACTCTCAATAGCCTTCAACTGACTATTCAGCTCCACTGCCAAATACTGGAAAAGAGGAACAGAAGAGGAGAATTCATTTTTAAAAAAAGTCAAGATTGATGTAAACATTAAAATGTTTGAGGAGATACTGGAAAGGATTTTATCATAGCTATAAACATTGATGAAGAAAAATATCAGATTCTGTTTCTTAGGGAAGCTACAGAATTCCTTATGCAAGTTATAAAGCAGTTCTAGAGATGCCACACAAGGGGGAAGACTGAAATTGTACTATTTGCCCCACAAAATAAACATCAAATGGAAAAGCTAAGAGAACTTTTAGGTTCCATCTGGTAAGACATTTGACTGATGTTCAGCTTGTAGTCAGAAAGAGCCCAAAATATGTTATGGAAATGATTAGAACTAGTCAGCTTTGCCTCTGCAATACTGGGAAACAGCATGTGAGACCCACCTCCTACAACATTAACTGCATCTTCAGCTACAACAAAGTTGGAAATCAGGTTGTCCGTCTCTAGATTTGTGTCTGACTTGGGACAAACATGTTGAAATTTGTGTTTGGCAATATTGAGGACTGATACTGCAAGTCAACCATGTCACTTACAGGGCCATTACAGCTAAAGGAAATAAATTAGGGAAAAGAAAAAAAAAAAAGAAAAGAAAAAAAAATGACACTTGGGAGAGATGCAGAAAAAGCTTGGCCAGCAGGTCAAGGGAGGTGATTTTCCTCTTCTGCTCTTGCAAGACCCCACCTGGAGTACTGTTCAGCTCTGGGTCCCCCAGTACAAGACAGTCACAGACCTCTTGGATCAGGTCCAGAGAAAGGCCATGAAAGTGGTTAGAGGGATGGAACTTCTATGAAGAAGGGCTACATGAGTTGGGGTTGTTTTGCCTGGAGAAGAGAAGTCTCTGGGGAGATCTCATTGTGGCTTTTCAGTACTTAAAGAGGACTTATAAGCAACACAGTTGTTTGTTTTCTTTTCCAGGGTATGTTGTGTTAGGATAAGGGGTGATGGCTTTAAACTAAAAGAGGGAAGAATTAGATTAGATATAAGGAAGAAATTATTTACTATGTAGGTAGCAAAACGTCTGAACAGGTTAACCAGAGATGTTGTGGATGCCCCACCCCTGGAATTGTTCCAAGAAGTCATCATCACCACAACCCACTTGTGTCACTGAAAAGCTCTCACTTCAGGCAAAGAGAAGCTTGCACTAAGCAGACAGAATTAGGCAACTCTGACTAAATTTCTAAAACTTGTGCTTCACTCTCCAAGGTTGACAGCACGAATGGATTCTTCAGCTTCCACCCAAATTTATCCACAGCAAGCATGGCTGCAGCATTCTCAACCTGGTCTTTCCTTTTTAGCCTTTATCAAATGCTTCCCCTGTCTTCAATGGACTGTTCACCAAGACCTAAGGGAGGCAAAGTTGACAATACAGTTCATTGCAAAACTGGAACTACAAAAGGAAGAGAAAGGTTTGCTGTTCACATTGCCCCATTGGTAACAGACCTGCAAAAAATTTAGCATAGCAAAAAATGGACATTCTGCATGAAGAAGAGATTTGTGTTCCTAAGAGTGAAGCAAAAGAGGCAATGACTTCCTCTGAGGACACATCTTTCAGCTACTTCAGTGAGACTTATTTCAAGAAACGTGTAATTAGACATCAAGAACAAGGAAGCTACAAATACTGCTACCCAGCATATGTTCCAGGAAGTCTTATTTCATGCAGGAGTAAATGTAATAGTTATAAAGTGACTTTTAATCAAATGCTCCCACAAGTTCTTTGAATTGTCATTTAGTAAGAGTCTCCCTTCTGACTCTGCTGTTTAGCAAGTCCCTTTTGCAGGTCACAGAGAAAAGGCTGTAACCAAACTCCTCAGTGCCTCTGTCACACAGGAGGAGCAGTATTTACTAAAAGGACATATTAAGAAAGCCCAACTTTGGATGGAAGGCGTCTTGATATAATGCTGTAGGATTTATGAGGCAATTGGTCAAGTGTCTCTGAAACACTTAGCTACCATTGAAAATGCTGACACTGAAAGTCAAGTGGAAGTTATGGAAATCATATGTAGATGTTTGACTGTGTGTCTGTTTGACTGAGTAATGATGAGTAATGGTATAAACACAAGATTGACAGTATGAGGTAGGATTATAAGGGAGCTGCTGTCTTCTTTTCAACATGTTCTGCTCTTGCTTCCTCACTGTGGTAAGCTATTTGCTAATGGAAAACGTCTTGTTAGTGCAAATTTGTTATTTTCTAGTAAAATGCTGTTCCATATTCATGATCACCCTAAGCGTGCTTTTGAAGGACTTAAACCACTTTATTAAAATACAACCTGAAAGACAGAAATATACTCTTCAAACTTCCCTCAAATAACTAAATACTCTTCAAATTTTCTTCAAATAACTGAGCAACTGACCCTATCTTTGAAGGACTTAAACCATTTTATTAAAATACAACCCGAAAGACAGAAATATACTCTTCAAATTTCCTTCAAATAACTGAGCAACTGACCCTATTGACTTAAAGGTTACAGATACAAGGAGAAGGCAAATATTCCACTGTTTCACAACATAAATCAGATGCTAATCTGGGAAAAAATCCAAGACAGTTGTTGTGAAGACTGTTTCTTTTATTTTGAAAAGGACACTTATTACTACATCTGAACTAATCTCTTGAACATTCAGGGACTTCTCTTCCAGAAGAAAAGTTTCCAACTCGCCTTTTACTGCACCAAAGTATTTTTAGAGCCAGAGTACAGCACATGCCTCTACAACTTGATTCTTTAGAAACCACCTTCTTTCTATACTGACAAAAATAAATAGATTGTAATGGGCTAACATAGGAAACCTATATCTGAAAATAGTCTCTGGGATCTTGTAATAGCTTTAGGGACAGTTTAAACAAAATCTAGGCAAAATGCCCCCAAAAGATAGGCTGTCGAGTAGAACTCAATGTTTCATGAACTTAAGAAAAAAAAATGTACACACATATATGACAAAGCTCAGACTAGGAAGGACATCTGTTTCATGACACAAACTTTCTAAAGGGAGCTATTCTGAGACAGAGAAATGGAGAACTGAGGGGAGCTACAGTGCCTATGAGCCTCCATGTTGGAAAGCAGCTCTCAGAACAGCTGATCAGATATGGCTGTCTGAAAAAATACACCAACTTGTACTGCTGAAGAGCACAAGCCACTTCCTCACACACATGCCTTGCAGACTTCTAGTGTAACTTGCAAGGCCAGCATAACTCCATGATACCATACAGCTGCTTTAGCTCTGTTTCAGGCTCACTTGCTGGAGGAAGTTGTATCGTTTCTGTGGGACCCATGTGACAGAAAAGCCACTGCTTACGTGGGGGCAGGACTGTCAATTTGATCGTGAAACACTAGCTCAGCCATTGCACAAAGAAACTATGTCAGAAGGCCTTCTACCTATGTTAGAAGTTGTAGAAGAAACAAAAGATGTTTCCTACCTATGATCTTGATAAAGGTCAGAGCTAGAACTCTACCAAACACTGGGACTTAAAGCCCTTCTGTCTACCAAGCACCAAACTTGCAGGAGCCCACCGCCCAGTTGTTCCAAACCCAAGCAAGCATGGTTAAAATAAAGAATACTTCTTACATTCAGTGATCTGTGTCTAGTTAACATCCACATGTACCAGTGAGGTAGATATTTTTATCTTGTTTACTTCTAAGCAGAGAAAGAAACAACATCACAGAGAGGTTGAATCTCTGTGGGGAATCGGTAACATGCCAGGAACTGAAGTCAGGCATTTCTGACTCCAGTTCTTTACCTGACTTACAAGTGGGTAACAAAAATACCAAAATAGATGGAAAGTTTGACTTTTTGTTGTGTAAATAAGTGAAAGAAATGTATTAGAAATACTCAAGTAAAGTAAACCAAACACTGTTGTCTACAGTCAAAATATCACCTCCCAAGTAATGATTTGCATTTCTTCCTTTACCTAAAAACTTCTGAGAAGACAGTTCTCTAAGCACGTGAACAGTCCCCATTTGCCTTGCAATCCAATCATTTTTCATGTCCAGTCAGCACTAAAAGCAGAGTTCCTAACCAATTTCCATTGCTTGCACTGAAGACCTTGAACAGATGCTCTCCATAGGACATACTTGACAAGCAGGGTAACTCACCATCAGTCGCTTGAAGACTGTATGTCAGGCCCAGTGCCAGGTATCCCTTTGCTAGTGACTCTCCAGCATCCTCCCCCAGGTCTATCACCATTTTAGCAAAGTATTCTCCTTCTTCCAGCTGCAAAAGAGGTAGATTGAGACTTACAACATTTCCTCTAGACTTGCTTCAATATGATTATCACATTAGACTCACCTCCGAGGGATCCGAGAGCCAGTCGTGCAAGGGCTCCCGGCCACCACAGCAAACACTCACAGAATGGAGGATGCAGAAGGTCAGACCAGCAGACCTCAGTCCACATGCAGTTTTGAGAAAAGTTTTGAGTTTATTTTAAGCATCCACTCCAAACGATTTCCAGATGTCTAAGGTTTATGAAGAATACTGTCTTATTTTTACACTTCCCTTCAGGCACACTTCAATCCTGCAACCTTAAGTACGAATGTTGGACCAACTATTTATACACACTATCCTAGCAGTACACTGAGAGGTCTAGCAGGTTTCTGCCTTCAAAGAAAGACCATCCTGTTTTGCTGTATGTTTTTAAACCTTAGCAAATTTTACTGCCTTTTAAAACATTACAAGAGTAAAACAAGAAAGCACTTCAGTGCAAGCTAAGTTCAGCTGCTGCTCGCAGTTCTGCTGCCACAAGGAGGAGGCAGAACATTCAGGGGACAAATTTTGATGAGAAATACCACACAACCACAGGAGCTTAGGCTGCACTAGCCACATTTTGCATCTTCTGCAGCCACAATTACCTTGAAAATGCATTTTGTATTATGGATTGTAATGGGAAGAGAAAGCAGTCATGACTTGTCAGGATCATCCTTTGAAATGGCAAAATATATAATTTGGTCTCTTCTCCTACAGTACAGACTGCTCCCCAAAAAACTTCCTTTCCACATGATCACACAGATCTAAGTCTAATAAAAATATAAAGCTTTAATATCCTTAAAACCTGAGTTAATGTTAATTTTAGACAAAAATAATTTGAGTATTTTATTACTGAATAGTGTTCCTCATTTCTAACCTTAAATTCACATTAACATCACTCACCCAACTGTAAATAGGAAAGACTAAGGCCTGTAGACCATATGGAAAGCTGTAGGTTGGAAAGGTATAGGCAAAAGCTGTAAGCAATGCTTCAGAGACAGAGCTTCCAGGAAGACCTCATTTCTGCACAAGACAAGTCTGCAGATCCTGCCAACCATAATCAGAGTCATCCCCAATCATGAACCAGACATGAATACACTACCAAAAAAAGTCTTCCTTTTGAAAACTTTTATTGTATGACAACTGACTTTGTGGGATGGAGTTGTTTAATTCTGAGGAAAATCAAACTGTTTTAGAAGCATGTACTGCAGACTTAACTGAAACGGGCTCTCTTAATACTCAGCTTTGTCAGACTTCAGCATCTCACAGCTCCTTAACACCTAAAACCAGTCACCTGTAATGAACTGAAATCAAAATATACCAGAAGACCAGAAAATTTCTATTCTGCAGTGATCTCTTAATATGCTACCTAGGAACAGAATCTAGTGGACTTGATATACTATCCTGTCAATGGGCCTCCTAGTTACATCCTCCTAGTGACAATGAAGACATTCAGGTGACAACATTAACTAACAACTTCATAAATAAAGGAACTAGTACTTATTAAATGATATCAAACATAAGAGAAAAATTACTGTTAATGTAAGCATGAAGAAAGGCCAAAAAATGAGTGAAGATGCAGTCTCCACTGCCTGGGTCTTCTACTTGTACTACTCCCTGAGGCCATACAATTCATACTAGGTGTAGACCAATAGTTTTCAGATTCCTGAAATCTCAGATCAGCCAGCCCAATGACTTATATTTTATCATCAAATGCTCCCCTGAAAGCACTATGAAAGCTTTCAGTATTGCTGATTGTCTAGTCAACTAGGTATCTGGAAAATACTGAAACAGGAACATCCCCTTGGGGCACATTTAGGGCTACCAACTAAATTGCAAGCACTGTCTTTAATAGCATAATCCAAAGTCTATTGACAACACTGGAAACAGTCCTCCTGACTTCAACGACACTCAGATGAGACCCTTTGAACACTGATCACATCAGGAAGACAGACATTTGTTCCAGGAGATTCCCTAATCCTGTCAGTAGTCCTACTGACTTCCCTGCCATGTACTGAAGCATGCTCTGGACAAGAGCCTAGGACAATGGAAGAAGAAAATGTCCCATGACTTGCCTCCCTGAGAAAAAAAAACAAACCAACAAACCACCAACCAAAAAATCCCTTCCCATGAAACAATAACTGAATCCTTCAGCTCTCAGGACCCTTTATATAAGATATGAAATCTCTGCAGATGAAAAATTAATTATGCACCTCTTTTGTGATCATAAAGCTACTTCCCCACTTTTTCTTCTTTGTTCCTCCTCTTCTCCCCACACAAACTTTCATCCAAGAAGTCTCCATAAGATGAAGAAAACAGATATACAAGGAATTCTAATGACTAGCAACAAAGGGTAGGGGTACATAGACTGTATTTCCATACACTCTACACATGTGTATTTCCATACACATAAAGAGATTAAATAAAAGGATTTGAATTAAAATGGAGGCATTTAAAATTGGAGAGATTTTGCTCCATTGTTTCTCTGAATGGTCACCTGATGGTGTTTCCAGTCTGACTGATGGCCTGTGCTGCATAAATCAGCAGCACACCATTCAGCTTTCTTGCCTGCCAGTTATCCAAGGCCACCTGTGAGTGTCAGATTAATGTATTGTATGAATAATTAAAACCACAACTTTTCAGAATGGCAGAAAGAGCTCTTCTAGCACAAACATTCTTGTCAACATTTATTCATACTAAACACTAATGGCACTTCGACCAGCCACAAAGATTCTCATGAATGCAAACTTGGGTCAGCTGAAGGCTGCTTTGAAAATAAGTGGCCTTGCAAACTCCAGCACAGATGGTTCTGCTTATGAAAGCAGTTACTTCTTCTTACAGCTCTCAGCCACTTCTCCTGCCAGCCCTGCTGTGGCTGCCACCTGCCCTCTCTTCTCCCATTCTCCTACTCTTCAATCGTTCTGGGCAAGTGTGAAAAGACAAACCTTTCACTCACATCACCCACTGTGAGGTTTCAACTCTCCCAGGGCATCAGTCTTGCTGACTGCCTACTTAACTATGAATCTGGAAACTACTAACTGAAACAGGAATACCCCCTTGAGGGATACTCAGGGCTACCAACTAACTGGCAAGAACAACTGGGGTCCACTCTGGATGAACACACCCTCTCCATACACCCGGGTGAGGGACCAGGAGTGAGCTGGAGCTGTGATCTGCCAGTGAAGTCGTGTCTGTGGGGGGCCTTAACCATGTGAGATATCTCCACTCTGTGCTGTAGCAAACAGGAGAGCAGGAAGGCCTCCAAATGAGGCAAAAACCCCTTTGGGATCTCACCAGATACAACCGTTCCCAGCTTCAGCTCCTGCATACTGCCACATAACCTGAAGCAGCAGGATCTGCTCCCCCTTTCTCCCCTCTCCACATGGTGCCAGGTTTTTGAAGTCTCACCCTGTGGGACTCCTGGAAATTGTGAGCTCAAGGTACACAGAAGTGAGCCAAATGGCAGTCAGCTTATGAGGAGAACAAGATGTCCATTCCTTCTCAAACTGCAAAGCCAGGGGCCAGCCTCAAGATGAAGGGAACATAAATGGTTCATTCCCTTCAGAGGAGGACTCCAACCTTAAGGTGACACAACACTGTATTGGAAGGGCAAGGAACATGGATCAAAAATTCTTGTGGCAACTTACAGTCCCTTTCTAGTAAGCTCTAAGCCACAGGATGCCACATGTCCTCCCCCACAGTAGGCATGGCACAGCATTACTTGTGACTTAGAAATGCAGAGCATACTGTTTCTACCTGGTTGCTAACAGCATCAACAGCAGCTCCCAACACCACAGAAAAGATATTTCTTTGGGCATCAAGAGTGCCACTGACAGCTTGAATTCAGTTTTCTTAGAATCACTACTTGTTATTTTCTCAGAAGCAAACAAAAAACAAAGAGTCTCAAAGCCCCACAGCTACACCTGCAATTTGTCCCTTACTGTTCTTACATTCTCCTGCATATTCTACACTGAATAGCAGGTGGAGAGAAGTGCAGCACCACAGGTTGCTGGGAGAGGATCCCTGCCTTTGAGACCTGCATGGAAGAAAGCTCAGAAAGCAGGTGTGGGGGAAAAACAACCTAAAAGGAACCTTTTGTATTTTGAACTCAAGCTGTACAAACTGTCAGGAGGCACCTGGAAGCACTAGCTAAGCAACCTCTCCACCACACACAAGCACACACCTGGCACCTGGAGAGAGACAGGCTGCCAGACTGTGACCTGACACCAATAAGACTGTAATCCTGTGGGGCTGGGTTCCACCTCCCTCCATCACCTTTGATGGAAAATGAACAGTTGTTAGCTGCATAACCCTGAGGGATGTTTTCCCTGAAACAGAGTGGCTGTTCCAGCCACCCTTGTTATTTGACCGTAGGTTTTGGTGTGTGCTCAAGCCAAGCCTGGGGGCACACTGACAAGGGAGTGGGGAACAGCAGGTGCTGTCCCCTGGCCTGTCGCCACCCAGCTGGTTTCCAACTGCCACCCAGCTTGTTTTTAGAAAAGCTCAAGCCCTACCCTACTGAATCAATATCCTCCAGGACTGTAAGTGGAAGCTGCAGTTCTCACCAGCATGGATTTAGAACAATTGAGGGCAAGCAAATTGATGATGTACAGTAGCATGGAAATGGCACCTTACTCCACTGGAAGAGAAGTGCACAAGGGGGGAGGCAAGAAACACATCAAGTGACACTGGACTTAAGAGAGCAGACAATGTCAGTGAAGCAAGGGAGTTTGGACTCCAGTGAGACTGAGTGATATCCAAGCACATAAGAGACTCAAATCCTGCAGAAAGGCTATCTATGCAAAATTATGCATGATATTAACTAGTTGGATTGACCTTTTCTTATCATTTTCATTACACTGGGTTGAAGGCATAGAGATTAATTCAAAGAAGAGTACAAATTAAATACTGGGAAGAAAGAATGAGAAGAGGAAAAAGGCACAGGAAGAAAGTGGCCAATAAAGCACAGT